CGGGGAGCGCCGCGCGCCCCCCGCGCCCGCGCTGCCCCCGCGCCGCGGGGCCTGGGCCGGCCCGAAAGCGGCCGCGGCGCGATGCGGGCAGGACACCCTGAAACTGGGGGGGTTTAAAGTTTTCTTCCGTGGCAGGAACAGAAACTTTTCTCCTAAGGGGAGCTCCTTCCTAGTTCCTCTTTTAACTTTTTTTTTTTTTTTTTTTTTTCCCCCTTCTAGAGTACAAACTACAGGAGAAGAGGGAAATTTTCTCATTAAAGTTACATCCCTGCAGTTAGTTCAATTACTTGATATATGCAGAAGATGTTGTAAATTTAAAGATTTAAATAGCTTACAAAGATGCCGGAGGCTCCATCAGTTAATTTCCTTAATTTATGGATTTTTAGCTGAGCTTCTGAAATGAAAAGGAGAATGAGAACTAGGTCAGCAGAGAGATTTGCATCCAGAACAGACTAAAATTTGTTTTCCTTGACCATCCCATCAGCCCAGGTGTGATCCTTTGTGGGGGTCACTGTCCCACCCCTGCCCTCCAGGCTGGGACCCTCTGTGAGCACGGCACAGAGGGGCCGATTTTATTCTGAAGTAACCTCCGAGCACCAGCGTGTCCCCAGCCAGCTGCCTCACCTGATGGCCGTAGCCTAAGCGCTCTCATCTCCTCAGCACTCTGGTCAACAAGTGGATGCGAAGGGGACAAGCTCCACTGGGACGGTGACCTGCCGCGCAGCCCGAGTTTCACCAGCCTTTTTGTAGGGGTGCGGGCGGACTCTTTGGGATGACTTGGCATCATATTTTTTACTTCCTTTGTGAATTACTGACTGCTAAGTGAAAAATAAATATGAGACTCTCGAACAGCAATCAGAGCTGCATAAAAATAGGATACTTCTGCGCTGAGGCACGCTGAAGAGGAAAGAGAAGACCTAAAAATACTGCACTTGTATGAAAAGTAGAAATGGTGATCTGACTCATCCCAACACATCTGTGACAGGCACTGTTTAATTGTGCTGCACGGAAATGGGATGCACGGATAATAAAGATTCGGTTTGTTTGTTTGCCTGTAGATCAAAGCAGACACAGTAGCACTTGGGATGAAAAAGCCTGCGCATGGTACGTAACTTGTGCGGGATTGTTTTTACTGTGTCTGAGAAAAGGACAATGGACTGGAAGCTTTGTGTTTTTTCTTGCCTCTATTAATGTTGAAGGTAATAAAGGTACGCGTTACAACTCTATATGCACGCTCTCATTTCTTTCTTCTCGCCCAAGTGTGTGAGTGCCTTTCTGTTGTTTTGTTTCAATATGTAAGAATATATACATATGAATCAATACTTAAAAGATTGATATAAACGAAACAGTTTTAGGAAGCAACATTGCAGTGTGATTAGTGTTGGTGTTCATGATTTAACATTTCTTTTCCCACTAGATGAAGTTTCTAAGATTTGCAAGGTACGTGTCAAGGACGGGTATATAAATGGATTTTTATTTATTCACAACTCCAAGACTAATTGCTTCTCTTTGCCTGAAGGCCAAGAGATTGGTTTTAATATGACACTTCAAAAGTATTCATAGAACTACAGAGATACTAAGTGTCATTGTTTAAGAGAGAAATCTCGCTATGCTACTTGTGACCCTGAAAATAAAATCTTCCACTGTATTTTGAATCCTAGTGTTGTTTTTCAGAGTTTCACTTAAAGCTCAACTATCAAGAAGTGTACAAAGGAAAATATTAAATAGTATGTAGTGAACAAAAAAGAAGAAATACA